TCATTGAAAAATAATCTAGATGCGAATAGAAATAATCTTAATTTACATCATCAAATATTCAAAATTCAGTCAAAGAAAGTGATGTCATATTTGAAATCTACATGTAGAAGTACGTCTAGAAATATGGTTTCGAAAAAATTAAAGGCTATTCTTTAAAAAAAATTAAAAAGACCCAATACATAGATATCTTAAATATTAATACCTTCAGGGTTATACTGAAAACATAATATGTAAATATTATCATATCACTATATCGTGCCATTAAAAAATTAAAAAAGAAATGATACATTTTAGAGTATGATACTCTGGCGTCGTTTTATAGCTTTTACTCATATCGTTATTGGACTTCAAACAGAAGTGGAAGTTTTTTACAAAGACCCCCCACGAAGTGGGATTCTTTTTACAAAGACCCCCCGAAGTGGGATTCTTTTTACAAAGACCCCCCACGAAGTGGGATTCTTTGTACCTTATTCCGGGCAATCGCCAGTGGATCGGCCACGTGACCTAAAGACCGCCTTTATTACCTTATATGGCAAATTGTCAAGGGAACTACCGAAGTCGTCATACGACGCGATTACGGATCGATTGTGTTTCCAAGTAATGTCGTCATGTGACGTAGAACGCATTGTCCGCCATTGCTCTCAATTTTGTCTGAACGGGTAAGCGTATTCTAACATTTCTGTTAATTTAAGTTTGATTTGTGTATTTATAATCGCATTTCACTCCAACTTGATTATAGAAATGAGTAGAATTGTAACTTCTTATTGTACTGAATCATTATTCGGGCCAGAAGTGGTGTAAAATCAATTTATGAACTTGAAGAAATTTAGATTTTGTTTCTCATGGAACGAGTTTTCCAGATGCTTCACATAGTCACGATCTGATCTATTTCTAATGTTCTGAAAATGACTATTATGATGCTGGTCACAAGGAGAGGCATCAGAAGTTCAACGTCTGATAGGAAACTAAATAAATCTACTTTTGAGTTTGACCCCCCTCCCCCCAAAAACATGATCATCGCGGACTTTTCGCGTGTGGACTTAGCCTAGGACTTTCGTGGATTTGGGATTTTCATTGGGATATTACCATAAATTATGTAGAATTAAAACATGTGACAGTAGGCACAGCATTAGCAGAAAACATCTGGTAAACTCTTTATTTTAAAACCATTCCAAGGAATTCTGATCCGAGTCAAAATTGCACAAAAATTGAAATGTTAAATTTTGTCTGATAGAAAACTGAAATGGCTTTGACCCCCTCCCCCACCCTTCTAGATTTATTTAGTTTTCTAGTCTGAACCTAAGATGCCTCCCGCGGGACTTATGTCAGAGACTGGCTATTAGTTTTTAAACTGGAACTCAAATGAATATACTTATATAGACTGCCCCACTTTATTCTTTTTCAGACAACAACAACACTAAAAACAAGATCCTATACATACAACACCAACAACAAGTGAAACAACAATTAATGCAAACAATTATGAAGGTTATGTCAACAAAGACGTACATTATAAATCAGGTGTGAAATCGGCGAGAACTATGAACAAAAGTGGTACTGTAGAAACGGAGGAAACGTAGGATAATTTGTAAGTCTTTAACTTAAAACTGATTTATTTCTTTTTGCTAGTGGTCTCTTTGTTTTATTTTCTATTTATGAAAAATTAATGAGATTGTTTCGACCCTTCCCATTCGCGGTTTATGTCGCAAGAAGTACTATTGCTTAACCTTTCTAATAATCGTATGGTTACATCTGTAGTTTATAATGTGACGTTTTAAATCGTATATTTTAGTGTCCAAATATTGAATAGGCTTCTGAACACTAGCCTATTACTGCAATGAGCTTGACAATTGCCTCATACAATAATACTAGTATAGGATTTAAAAAACTATTCGTATAAATACATGAATTTTATACGTCTCTGTTCAAATGTATAAATGTTGTACATGTTGTACAAACACAAGTAGGAAATGTATTGACTAAGGCCGCACTATTTCCAGGGCATGGTAATAACACAGGTCAAGAAGGATGACGTACATTAGAACAA